AGTGCCTTTCATGTTCATCTGTCCACTGTGAATTGTCCCTTAATCTCCACTGAGCTAAATGAATTTAGACAACTCATTTGTTTTCTCCCTTTCCTGCAGCCTCACTGTCTTCCTTTTACTCTGTAGCTTTCTCTCTCTCTCTCTCTCTCTCTCTCTCTCTCTCTCTCTCTCGATCATTACACTTCTCTCCTGTCCAGCCTGTTCGTACATATTGTGTTTATTCTCACAGTGACTGAGTGTGTGCTTTTATTTTTGCACATATTTATGAATTGTTATTTTGAGTTGTATTTTTTTTTAAAACACCACTTAACTAGCCCCGAGGAAAGAACACATTTTGTAACAGCCAACACACAGACAAAGGAGTCATCTGAGAAATGGAAAAGGAAGTGGGGGGAGGAGTGGGGGGAGGAGGGGGGGGCAATACAATAAAACCATTAAGCACAAAATTTGTAAATATATATAAAAGTAGGCTTAATGGTCTTATCTTTGTTAATATACAATATTGTGCAAAAGTCTTAGGCACAGGCAAAAAGAAATGCTGTAGAGCAAAGATGCCTTCAAAAATAATGAAACTAAATGTTTCTACATTTGGTGTGACGATCCTTCGCTTAAAAAACAAACAAAAATAATAGTCTCAGGTGCAGTGTGTGCAGTTTGATAAGGAAATGAGCTGTAAGTGTTACTGAGCATCTTGCAGAAGCAGCCGCAGTTCTTCTGGAGACTCTGACTGTCGACTCGCTTCTTATTTCTGCAGCGAAACCCAGCAGCCTTCATTCTGGGTTTTTTTTTTTTTTTTGTCTGAAAAGTGTCTCTTATGTAATCTGCTGCTTTCTTTACTGACATACAAACATTGTTCTGTAACATTTCATTTCGTGCTGGAGAACTAATGTTTGGAATCTAAAATGTTTTTGTGCTGAATCAATAATGTAGACGTCATAAAATAAAATTCTATAATAACGTTTGTACTAAAAAAAAATAGGTTGCTAAGACTTTTGCACAGTATAATATAATATAATATAATATAATAATTAGAAAATATTAGATAACATTTCCTTTATTCCTTCGCCTGCTAAGATATTGTTTTTTGTGGCGCATATGTAAGGAAAAAAAACTCTTGGCGACATCAGCGTCATCAACACCGGGGTGGTGTGATGGAGCAGAGTTACTGATGCCTCCTCTAAGTTGATTATAAGTTGCATGCACTGTTTTATTCCACTTATACCACAGCGATTTTCCAACAATTTGACTTTTTCACACTTTTCCATACTTTTTATCGTACTTATCGTATGTTTCTTCATACATTTATCCATACAGCATTACCTTTATTGTTAAGTTGCATTATAGCAGCTATAAACAGTCGTTCCCTCACCAGCCTTTCTCTTTCTCTCACTCTCATTTAATTCTCTCTTTTTCACTTTCATTTCATAAGAGAAAAATTGCAGCTTGTCATGTTCCAGAGAAACGAGAAAGTCCACTACTCTGGAGACTTTGCCATTTCAGAGAAATGCATATATAAGGATAATGCATATCAAAGCACCGACGTGGAAATTGGAACAGAAGCCCATTAAAATGAGATAAATGAGTAGGAGGCTTAAAGGCACTACTTAAATTTGTCAGCCTAATACACGAGTGAATAATGAGTGGTGCTTCCTTAAATAAATCCAGAACAGATTTTAACTGGATCAAACTTTTAGAAAAAAACGTAGCCATTAATCATGTTTTAATGTCACAGTGTCAGCCGTTTCTGGGCGTTCAGGTCCAGCAGGTCAGCGTCATTAAATATTAGCCATCAGAAACTCAGCAAATGCTTCTACACTATCAGATGAACAGAGATAGCCCATCAGGGTGATTTTTTTTCGGGCTTTCACACTTTCATACATGCTGAGATGAGTTTTTTTATCTGAAATAACAGCATCAGCCTACTCTCAAACCCCCCCACCCACACACACACACACACACACACACACACACAAACACTGGCCAAAATGACACACTGCAGCACAATGACTGAAAATGAAACTCTTCACTGAGTGAATGAATAATCAGCTTAGCTTTTTTAAATTTGACATACTGTGACATGCGGCAGACTTGCTTCATTTGTTGACTTCTTTTTAAACTTCTTGTCAGCAGTGTATTGAACAAATCTTCCACAGTAGTAGAGGAATAATTGGCACAGGAAACTGGAAATTGGATCATTTTTTTCCTCGGAGGTATACGGTGTACCTGCAAGATGTTTAGTTACATGCAGAAAACGTGCTGCGTACAGTCAGCAAAGACTCCTTTGTTGCTCTTGAGGAAAACAATGTGTAATTTACACTGGGCTACACACTCAACAAAATACTGATGGTGTTCAGCTTTAAAAAGTAAAAACAAAACCGATGAGTATGGAGGGGAGACCCATGTTCTGTATGCTGAGGATAGAAAAGCCACTCCTTGTTCAGTTAAAAATCAACTTGTGATAATGAAGCTGCACAGAAACATGCATTCAAATTTAACACACGTCGGCGAGAGCATTATCAGTGGCGTCATGATAAACCATTCATGTGTTCCTATTATTATGAGAAAAAAATTCATTAGAAGTTTTTGCATAGTTTATTTGCATGTTAAGTGTCATGCAGACATTATATAGCAGAAGAGAATTATTAGAGTCGAGGTTCCTCACTCACCCAGGTGCTGGGCTCAGTTCCTCAGAGTCACTTCCTCCTGTTTTGCAGCAGTGCCTCGTTCCGCTGGTAATGCTCCAGGCTACAGACTCTCTCTCTCTCTCTCTCTCTCTCTCTCTCTCTCTCTCTCTCCTCTGCACCTTCCACTCCCTGATTTGACCATTTCTTTGCCTCATCCACCCACATTCTCTCTCTCTCCCTCTCTTTTCAAGCCCACCTCCTTTTTTGTCATTTCTGTGCACTGTCCATGTTCCCTCTTTGTCCCTCCCTTTCTCTCTCCCTCCTTTTTCTACCAATATTTTCTGACTCCTTCTCCCACTCTGCTTGTCTTCACTTCCAGTACAGTCTTTCAGGCTGCTCCCTTCCGTCTAATGGAAACCTTGAGTCCACTTTGGCAGAATTATTCACACTATAGTGCAGGGCCATTTCAGGAGCCATTTATCTCTGTACTGTTGTTTTTATTAGGAAGCAATATTGCTCCATCTTAGAAATTTCAATGTTAATTGAAGTTTGGAAACACAGCACTTTGGAAACAGTTAGCTTTTAAGTAACTGTGTAATGGCGTGGTGTTATGACTGAGCAATCAATTGGCTGCTTTGAGAGAAATATTCATTAACATGGCAAAGCCAGTCACTTCTCTCCCTATTAAGTATTTGGGTTGCTGAGTGGTCAAAATCTAAATTCTTACTAGCAATTCAATTCAATTCAATTTTATTTGTATAGCGCTTTTAACAATGGACATTGTCACAAAGCAGCTTTACAGAAATGAATGGATTCACAAAAAATATATTGGAAATATGTGAATTTATCCCTAATGAGCAAGCCAGTGGTGATAGTGGCAAGGAAAACTCCCTGAGACAATATGAGGAAGAAACCTTGAGAGGAACCAGGCTCAAAAGGGAACCCATCCTCATCTGGGTGCAACGGATAGTGCAATTGTAAATAAATCCTTTCTATTATTGTGTATTATAATGGACAAATAGTGCAATTGTACAACCAGTAAATTCATCACAGTTTTCGCAAGAAGTCCGGTTGGTTAAAATCTATCCACTGTCCACTGATGGAGTCCTGAGTATGAAGCTGCTCGTGGCAACCGCAGCCCCAAAGCCACTACAGCAATCGCAGTCCCAAGCCATTACAGCACAGCTCCCCATATGAGATCCCCAAGCCATCTCCACAGCCCCCAGGTGGCACCATCCCCAGCAAACCAAATGGTTCTTCAGGCCACCCATATGGGGCCCCAGCAGCAGCGAGCGAACTCAACCGATGAGAGCTCCAACCAGAAGTAGGGCATCAGGATGAGTCAGGCAGGTCCGGAGAGCAGAAGGGGTCAGGATCACTGACATCTCAGAAGTAGCATGTGTAGCTCGACAGAGAGTGAGGGAGAGAGAGAGATGGAGAGAGAGATTGTTAGGTAAGCTTTTGTCCTCTAATGGTTAAGGATAATGTACTTTGTGTGCAGAGTGCAAGCAGGGACTCCGGCAAGGCTAGCTATGACAGCATAACTAAAAGGGAGAGCCAGAAGCTAGTTGTACTCAAGTGTGCTGATAAGAAATTGAGAGAAGGAACAATTTCTTTCCATTTCTTTCGCTCTAAATCAGCCCACAAGGGAGTGAGAGAAATGTGAACAGCAGAGATAGGGACTCGCATCTCAGATCCGTGACTTGAATCTCACCCGAATCACTAATTTACTGAATCGTGTCTCTTATTCTTATTCACCGATCTCTGACACAAACAACTCGGATTACTGTGCCTTCTACTCCAATAATTCTAAGTCAATATGAAAGCCTTATTTCCTTGAATGGACCCTAAAAAGTGCACAAACCCTTGTGCTGGATGCCATTACCCACCCATCTCCGATTGTGCCATGTATGTTTTTTCTTTTAGATGCAAAGGCAATGAAATAAAAGAAAAAATGGGAAGGTCTGCATCTATAATCTAAGAGGAACATCACAACTAACCTCATCCTTCATTTGCAAAAACACTAAGAGCTGTTTGTTATATAGCTTATACAAGTTGCCATGCTGGCAGCTAGTTAATACAACAAGATTTAGTTTCAGTATGCAAGTTAATTAATATGCAATCAACATAGAGCTAAAAACTCTGAACTCGACTTGGAGTCAGCCACGTTTGTTCCTCTTCCGGCGACTCCCGTCAGGGGTCGGTGCAACGGATCATTGGTCCGCATATTTGATTTGGCACAGGTTTTTTTTTTTTTTTTTTTTTTTAAAAAAACACCGGATGCCCTTCCTGACGCAACCCTCCCCAATTTTATCCGGGCTTGGGACCGGCACTGAGAGCACACTGTTGCATGTAACCCCAGTGGCTGGGGGTTGGTTCCTTGGCTGGGAATTAAACCCGGGCCACAGGGGTGAGAGTGCTGTGGACTAACCACTAGCCCACCAGGGACCCTGACTTGGAGTCTGCCACATTAATTCAAATTAGACTCCAGCTAGTGCTATTCTAGTTCTGCACAGGGGACACTTCCAATCAGATGAACTCATCTTTGACTCAAACATACAATGGGACTCAAAACTAGTACAAGTGTTTATTAGTGATATATAATAGCCTTTGCATGCTTTGCATGTTTCACTACTGACTTGACTCAACCACAACACTACCTCATAAACAAGACCGATGAGCAGTCACAGTCATGGCTTGAGTCTCTGTCTCTACTCTCATCAGTCTCAGTCTGACCCTGTCATTTCAGATCCCAGATTTCATGGAGCTTAGCCAGCTCATAAAAAATGAATGCGGGTTTTAATGAGCAAAGGAAACATGGTTGACCGCTCATTTCCAGGGTCCCAGGTTTGATTCTGAAGTTGGGTTTACTGTCTGTTCTCTCTTGTCCATGTGGATTTCTCCAGTTTCTTCTAACCTACAAAAAACATGATGATAGATGGATTGGCTATGTTAAATTGCTACTAGGTGTGAATGAATGTGAGAATGGGTGTGTGTGTGGTGCCCTCAGAAGGGGTCCCAACCAGAGTGTATTCCCACCTCGTGCTCAGTGTTCCTGGGACTGGCTCTAAATCCACCACGACCATGACCAGGATAAAACTTATTGAAGATCAATTAATGAAAAACCAATGAATGGTTGCTAGAGACTATAAGACGTCAGACTATAAGAAGTGACAAAATTCCTCAGAACTGGAGGATAGAAAGTTGAACATAGGTTTGTGCTCTTAGAATGCACAAGAGGACATTATTGTTATTAATGGTGCTACGACTGCAGAGGAATCACTGAGTGCCTTTAGATAAGTGGCATTCATTGAGCTCCTTAAGATTAGTGGTGTTGTTTGTGCCCCACTCCACTGCACTGTGAAATGAAATGTTTTCCCATCTCTATCACACCTGACTCAAAGCATCTGCTAATTATCGAATCCTCCGTGAAGTGACAGAGGTTGCGTTTCTGGGAATTAAGAGTCACTGGTGAGATTTTTTTGTATGCAGCACTTGAAGGGCAGTTCTTGCAATAACACTGGAGGCAAAAATGAACTGTTTGCATAAATAGAAGGAAGTAAACATCGAACATTAGAATTATATATTCTTAGTCTAGTTCAAAAAATAAATTTGACACATTAAAATCTGAGACATTTCTGTTGTTTTAATACACATAATTTGCATTAAGCTAAGAAATTGTTACATATTTCAATAGTTTACTACTCAGCTTGCTTTTAATGGCCAGAGCACGAGCACCCAAGAAGCCGACTTCACCTAAATATCCCCAACATTAGTCATTTGCTGTTGTAGTTATGAAGAATCAGATGTCTGCATTTGGCAGACATGTTTAAATGTGGAAGAAAACAAACCAGGCATAAACATATCAGTCAAAAGTTTTCAAACACCTGTCATGTTACTAAACCAGTTAAGGCCTATGTACTTATTTGCCTCATTTGCTGTTACAGTATTACAGTCACAGTACGTAAAATGAGCCCACTCATTAACCTGAGACCAAAAAATGTTAACATACTACATATGTTCTCAACTTTTGAGTTCTGTGCAAACAAACTTCAAGACAGTTGAGCCAGTTGCCAGTCTTCCCAGGAGTGGGCGTCCCAGTAAATTCAGTCCAAGGTCAAACTGTTTAATGCTCAGAGATAAAGAAAACCCCAAGAGCTACATCATGTGACCTACACACCTCTTTAAGCACATTAAATGTTTATGTTCATGAGAGCAAAATCAGAAAAAGACTGAACAAGTATGACTTTCGTGGAAGGGTGGCTAGGAAAAAGCCCCTTCTCTCCGAAAAGAATATAGAGCATGAATGAGGTTCGCAAAACTGCATCGAAACAAACCACAAAAGTTCTGGAACAATATGATTTGGACTGATATGACCAAGGTGGAGATGTTTGGTCATCATGCACAGCACATTTGTTGAAATCCAAACGTAGCGTATCCCTACAAACACCTCATACCAACTGTGAAGCGTGGTGGTGGAGGGGTGATGATTTGGGCTTGTTTTGCCACAGGACCTGAGAAACTTGCAGTTATTGAGACAACAATGGACTCCACTTTATACCAGAATATTCTTGAGACAAATGTGAGGCCATCTGTCCAGCAGTTTAAGCTGGGCTGAAACTGGGTCGCGCAACAGGACAATGATCCCAAGCACACCGGCAAATCGACATCTGAATCAAGGCGTTGGAATGGCCAAGTCAAAGTCCAGACCACTACCCCACTGAGATGCTGTGGCGGGATATTAAGAGAGCTGTGCATAAATGAATGCCCTCAAACATCAATGAACTAAAGCTATGTTGTAAAGAAGAGTGGGCCAAAATTTCTCCAAAATGATGTGAGAGACTGATAAACTAATATTGAAAAAGTTTACTTCAAGTTATTGTTGCTAAAGGTGGTTCTACATGTTACTGAATTATAGTGTGTACTTATTTTATATTGAAATCTGTTGTGTTTTTTTTTGTTGTCACATGAGGTTATTAGTTATTTATATATAGTCATTAGGCCTTGGTGCTCTCACCACCATGGCCCAGGTTTGATTCCCAGCCAGGAATCTAATGCCAGTCAGTGGGGTTGCACATGACAGTTGAGGAGGGTTGCGTCAGGGAAGGCATCCGGCATAAAAACTGTGCCAAATCAAATCTGCGGACCAATGATCTGCTGTAGTGACCCCTAACGGGAGCAGCCGAAAGAAGAAGAACAACAACATAGAAGTTGGTGAGGTCCTGATAAATAAAAACATAGAATTGAAAGAGGGTGTACTTTCTTTTTCCCATGACTGTATATGTAATATATATTTCAGGCTCTATTTCAATCTTCTTGAAAAACTTTCTAACAAAGCATAGAGTCCCTGGTGTCAGTGGATAATAAAGACTGTCCTGTGCTCATCCCTGGACTCTTATTCACAATCTGTTCATACTGAACATCTGTTCAACACAATTAATACAGTTTGTCTTTACTCTTCTACACCAGTATACTGTAATGGTTTATAATCTGACTATCCGGTGCCACCCAGACGACGATGGATTCCCTTTTGATTCTGGTTCCTCTAAAGGTTTCTTCCTCAACACTGTCTCCTCTGGTTTGTTGATTACTGATCTAAATCTATATCTGGATTTCTATAAAGTTAGTTTCTGTTGTTAAAAGTGCTATACAAATAAAACTGAATTGAAGTTAAGTCTCATTGGATTAACATGCTTTATGTGATCATATACAGTAGTAATGCATGTTTATAATATTCTGATGGTTAGAACAGATATTTGCTGAACTGTTGGTCCCGTGTGCTAGCATAGCTTTTAGTGAATCAAGGTCAGTGCCCTTGTGCAACAAATCAAAACAGCGATCCAGGTCGGATGCAACAGCCAAGATTTACTTCAATAAGCTGCAGTGCGCCGCACAAGTCCAGTCCTCTGATTAGATGTCCTAAGTGCATAAGCCCAGGTTTTGTGCTCTCGGACACAGTGATTCATAAATGCATCAGTAAATGTGGGGAAAAAAAGAGTCCTTGTAAATCCCCCCTCATTAATATACAGTTAGGTCCAGAAGTATTGTCCAAATACCTTTGAAAATGGAGGTACTTTGCTTAAAATGGCTGTAATTCCTAAATGGTAAATGCCATATTTTTGTGTAACCTCTTAAAATGAAGCTGAAAGTCTACACTTCGATCACATCTTGATTGTTTTATTTCAAATCCATTGTGGTGGTGTATAAAGGCAAAATCACAAAAACCCTGTCACTGTCCAAATACTTCCGGACCTAACTGTGTAATTTAATATGATGTGTCACCATGCATGTGCATGAATATGATATATGTTTTCAGCATTTAATTTATTTGTGTATTTGTGACACAGGACTTTAAGAATTTGCAGGTTTTCATAAGTATTTCTTTTTGGTTTTTTTTAATTTTTTTTTTTACCTAGCCTACTACTTAAATATTATCATTTTATTGTGGAAGTTGTATGCAGTGTTTTACTATAAAAAAAAAAAAAAACTTTAGTTGTTCTGTCTGATTTATCTCTGTACCAATGTTATTGTGGAGAGGTGTGAATTGTTTTCCCAGCACGATACTCTACACACAGAAACCCAACCGTGTCCTGACTAATCTTCTAACAGACTTGCAATTCAATTATTCATTTGTTTATACTGACTGAAAATGTCCAATAGGTCGATTTCCATTCCTCTGGCAGAAGGGAACAGCAGTGTACTGTGAGAAAGGGTTAAATAAGAAAGTTACCTAATCTTTACCTAATTTTTTTTTTTTTTTTTTTTTTACAATAATGCATTGTGAATTTTCAAAGCTCATAATTCCTGGCCTGCTAAAAAAAAAAATAATAATAATCGTGAGAAAGTTGGAACCTTGAAAATGGAGTAAAAAATGTTGAGAACAAGTGTTGTTTGGTGTTTGAGAAATGTTTGTCTTTTCAGAAAGATGCAGTGGGGTCGCATATCTCAGAAGCAAAAGCACATCTCGGAAGCACAGTTCTCATCCCTTCATCCTTAACACATCCTCATCACATTATTAAAAAGCATTTGGATTTGAACTCACAACTTTATGGTCAGGATGTTAACATTTGTCCACTGCCAAATCTTTTAAATTAAAAGTGTAGTATTTATTTTTGTTTGAAGGAGAGCAGTATCGACTAAAATGTACCTGACAAATGCAGCTATATACCTGTCTTTACATTACATCTGAAGCAACCATCAGCACATACATGTTCATTCCCCTCGCAATAAAATGTGCCATAAACACCAGCGTGTCTCACAGCGCCGTAACGCCAGATAGTCATTTGCATTACAACAATATTTACACTGAATATTTTAATGACAATACAAAATAAATCCTTGAAAGAAAGGCACAGGTCTGTTTTATAGCTCAGAAGTGCATATTGTTAACATTCATTCTAACAATATTGCATAAAAAGTATACCAAAGTAGCTTTCAAATAATTAAAG